AATAAATCTATCAGTAAGGTTTCAAGATTCCTTTAGTCACGTTCTGGAACATTTAAGATTCAAAATAGGAACTGTCATTTAACAAACCTTATTACATAAAGAAGCCCTCCTTGGTAAAAACGAAATAATGTATTAAGCCCTTTTTTAATAAAATCTATGAGAGAGATGTACTTACTCCAATATAAAAGTCACTCAATATAACAGAGATTTCTCAATTTGAGAATCCAATGAATGCCCTTTCCCCTATAGCTATCTTAAAGGCCTGGTCTGAGCCATTAATATATATATTTAAATATATTAATTTTTTTTCAAATTCAGATGTCGTGGAATCCAGATACAAGATGGTCAAGCTTCTTATAGACAACCTCATTCAAGGCCAACTCATTGTGAGCCCAGGCAAAAAAATACAAACAGCAGTTAAGTTTGCAGCTTAGGATAACTTCACTGTAATTTATTGTTACATTTACAACAAGACTTTAATTTTATTTATCTGTAATTAACCCCTTCACTCCCAAGAGTGCTTGGTTTTCAAATATAATTTAAGATATTGTATTTTATGGAAAAGAATCAACAGATTTGTCAAACCAAATTTAATGATTGATTAGGACTATTTTATATGAATAGCTGTAATTGAGGCTTAATCCATATGAAGTTTTCAAGAAAAGAAAAATAAATCAAATTCCATCTTAATATTACCACAAGTTGATGTTAATAATTCATCAAAAATATTTTACATGTAAGCCTTAAGTAAGCTTCTAAATAAATTTCATTGAATACTTGAATTTTAGCTGGTTTTTTTTTAATTTAAAGTATTTATTTTATATCATTAGCCTCAAGTTTTTGCTTAAAATTCTCAGTAATTCTTAAACATTCCTAAAAATTCCCAAAAATTCCCAGAAATTCCTAGGAATTTTTTAGATTTACAGCTTTTCAGGGAAAGTCATTGGTTCTCTGAGTTGGAATTCCTAGGAACTTCAGCAAACTTTAATCATCAGAATTGTAAGCCAAGGTGAATTTACCAAGTGCTTAAGATTCTAAATCAGTCACCTATCACCGATATCTTCAGCTTAATCATCCTGTTACATGTGAAAACATCAAATGTTACTCAAATATTCAAATAATTACCTGGATGAAAAGTAACAAGTTTTTTTAATAACCGGCTTTCTTTAACCCTTTAACTCACATGTGTGACCGAGACAGAATTTCTCCTTACAATATCAATACAATATCAAGCAGACAAGTGATGAGAATAAAGAAGAATATTAATTAGGGATTATTAGTTTATCCAAAACCAAATTCTCAAAACTTACATCACAAGAACTATATGGCAGACACTAAGGAGAATTAATCATAAGATTTTGGGAGTTACAGGGTTATAGTTGTGCTCCAGGAATAGTAAATGGTATTGAAGAGAAAGGAAAAAAGTTCTTAAAACATTCTATGTTAAATGAAACTTTGTTATGAATGTTAATTGGGATGGCAACTCAAACATCTGTGAAACTATAATGACAATTACCTTCCCATGTAAACAAACCATAATGAAGCATGATATGACTTTATTTAATCTCACCTAGTTTGAATGTAGAATCCAAAAACTAATTAACTTACTAGGGAATGGGATAAAGCTCAACGCATTTTTCCTGCTTCTGTCATTCTAAATATCACAAATCAATCACACCACCTCTTCAATGTGATTTTTTGAGATGTGTACTTACTCTTATGAACATCTATTCTTAGTTAATCTATCCTTTCACTGCTGACATCTGAGAAGAATCAAGTCCACACTGGTAACTTGACACATTGCAGGCAAACCCTACAACTGATTAAATTTTTCTTGATCAAAAACATGAAGGGCAATAGAGGAAATTAGCTAGCACAATCCAAGTTTCCCTTCTTAAATATTTTGTGATATTTTTTCTATCACATGGTAAAGTTTGCAGTTTCCCTCATTTTACCATCTTCTGTTCATTTGTTTGTTTGCTTTCCTTACAACTTAAACTATTGTTGCCAACAAATGCGAGGAGCATATAAAATGTGTACAGTTATTAACACTTTAATCCCTGAGAGTGACTAGCATCTAACTTCTCCTTTCAATATCATCCTTGAATCAACCATTAAGGCCATGAGAACAAAGGAAATGATAATCAACTGAAGAACCTCTCTATTGTTAAACAAGTTCTCCTTGCCAGCACATTAGGAAAAGTGTAGAGAACAGCATGGAGAATATGCATACTGATGTTAGGGTGTAAAGGGTTAAAGATATCATATAATCAGTTTTACATATTATGTAGAGTATTGCTTGAATATATAATTGTGGTGAGTGCAAGTGCTTAGTTAACATAATTCTATCACTGGTCGTCTACTCTTTCACCTTGGAGGGTGCCTTGTGTGCTTAAAAATTGAAGTTCAGTGCCTTTAGTAGCTTTTTTGGCGAGGACGATCAACAAAGAACAACAACCACACCAAAAAGTCTTTTTAAAGACACCTACACAATGGTAGGTACACAAAACTGACATGTTTGAGTGAAGCATGACAAGCATAAGGTATGAGTGTCGATTTGTTTTTCATTACCTGCAAACAGCTTATTTCTATCAGCTTTGAAAACTTCTATATCCTCACTTTCAAAGAAAAGCATTTCCCATGAACATGTAAACATTACAGGCATAAGCTATCAGCAACAGGTTTTTCCATTGTTTCACAACGTCAGATTCTCATCACGTGTTTTTGTTACATTTGAGAACATAAGAAAATTTTAATCATTACAATATAATGAAATCCCCCATTTTAACCCTTTTGGTCCCACTGGTGACCTAAACAGAATTTCTCCTAACATTATCAGTACGATATCAAGCAAACAATTAATGAGAGTAAAGAAAAATATTAATTAGGGGATTATTGGTTGATCTTATTCCAAATTCTTCAACCTAAATCACATACGCAACTAGACCGTTTATCCTTTGGCTAAACTATTCATCTTTAAGGTGCTCTGTTTCATGAAGGAAAACTATACCGTCTATAATTTGGCCACGTCATTCCTTTATTAGCTATGCTACCCCGCAGCCGATCCTTAGACCAGCTTTGTATTTGCTGACCTATTCGACATCCTTGTATTTTTAGAGGTGACGGCCGCCCATGTGCTTCTGGAAGATCAGGGAAGTGAGGCAAGCACCAGTGAAGGGCACATTAACGCAGTATTTTGGTTTTTATAGTAATATTTCCCGACCCAACGAGTTTATATGGGACAGTTATCAGTCACGAGCGAAATTCTCCCTCTCTGTCACACCAAGAACATTTACACTCAGCGATGTTTGCGACCAGACTACATTCTCAGAAATTAGACTCCTAAGGCAGCACCCTAACCACAATAATTGTCCCTTTTCGAATACTAATGATGCAGGAAAGCTATGTGTTTGTAAGGTTTCAACTTTTTAACCATGACCTTATATCAAGTATAGCTTTTAGAAAACTTAGAGTACTTCAACGCGTTCGTTCTGTTTTGTCAACTCATGATATGTGTGAGTGGTTTTGAAACCCTTACCGCGCCCGTGACTGCACCTAAAGCAGAAACTGAATCACTTCGTGAGTAATAGGAAATCATTGACGATTCAGGATGCAATATGGAGAGAGATTTCCTGTTCGTGATAAACATAAATCATCATTGTTAGTTTAAAAGTTTTATTACTGGATTTTAGCCACTTATTGTTCGCTATAGCTGCTTAATGTAATGATAAAGTTTGAGAGTGAATGTCACTCGATGACACTAGTTAATCTTGCTTCATACCAACAAACTTATTTAAAATAGGCTCGTCTTTCAGCACTCTTGTTCCTAGCCGAATGACTAAAATTTAAGACCGAGATTTTACTAGATATAAGGAATTGTGAACTTTATTCCAAGTCTTCCTACGAAGTCTAGTTACAGGGGTTCCTTGCTGCATCGGCTCGACGCCCTTTCGCCCTAACAGCACTGAATTTCAGTCGCATTGCAGTATACGGACTATTTCTTAGATATAACACGTTTATAATTCATTCTTTGTACAGTCAAAGACATTGCACTGATCGATGATGGCAAGTTAGACTGACTTGATTTACTTTGGGATGATACACCTTGTTTTATCACATAAAATATAATACGTGCGGATATTTTGTGAGTTGCGTTGTATTTTTTCCGAGCACAGAAGGCATAAGTGAGAGACGGAAACAATACAAACGAAACCATAACCAACAATAACATCTGTAAATATGAAGGCGATCCTCGCATTTCACAGTTCTTATAGTTCACATAGTTCACATAGTTCACATAGTTAGCAGCTCACCTATGATTTTCGTGTATTCACAATGAAATAACATCTGCTGCGCCGAACAGCTATTTTTCCAAGAAGAAAAGCCTAAAAAAACCCGGACAACAAAATCATAGTTCGGATCGTTTATTAAACCCACTCTCTGACCGTATTTTTGACCCTGATCTACAGAGTAATTCATTGGCATATTTTGGCCGCTCCGATACCCTAAAAAGCCAAAATGACGTCCTAGTGGAATAAAAAAAATTTCTATAGCTTCTCTTCAAGCGATTCAAGAAACGGTTTCCGAGTTATAAATAGATATACCTTTGGGAACTATCTATAATCCACGCCGCCCACGAACTGCTATTAAAAAATGATTAGTATACACTGGAGCTCATGAGAAGCTTTGAGTAAAATTTGGTTACATCTCTAATTTCTGTGACCTCCTCTTCCTAAATTAAATATAGTCGAACGAATACTAAGATATAGAGCGATTGTTCTTTTCAGTCCGCTCCACATTACTTCTTTTCTTTTAATTCAAAGTCAACACTCTCCGCCTCTGCTTTTTTGCGGTAAACTCCACCTTGCCTTTTTGGTCTTCTAGCTGGCTTAGATTTTGTTGGAGGAGGCGTTTTGCTTTGTGAAAGTGGCCGTGTCGAAGGTGACCTCGGTGGCGGTACTGGTTTCAGTTTGGGTTGAATCTCAGCCTCCTGCAACTCCTTAAAACTTTCCAGCGCTTTTTTTTTTTGTCGGTCTGGCACGTGGATCTTCATTCCAGCAATTAGTCATGACATGCTCCCATATTTCCCATGGATGGTTCGTGCCTTCGATGTGGGCAGGTCGGCAGCCCTGTCTCATCTTTTCGAGCTGATACACTCCGCAGGTTGTCATGGCCGTTTGAAAGGTTTGCTCACCATACCATATTTCCCAAAGTAAAAAGCCAAAACTATACATGTCAGCTTTGCTGTTGTAGACTCGACCCTCAAACACTTCAGGGGCCAGGTACAGAGAGGTTCCGATCATCGTTCCAGTTATTTCTTTTTCATGTTTAGCTACTCCCACATCTGCAAGTTTCACTTTCTCGCCTTGCGTCAGCTATAAGGAGAAAAAAGTTAAACTTAGTCACAAAAATTGTAATGAAGAGGGGAAACTATAAATGGCTTAGTGTGACGTTGCTGCTTTTTTGGTTGATTGCAAGATCGTGTTTCATGGTGTCGAACACCAAATGCCACGACAAAGGTTTAGACTTCTTGTTAATCAGTTTCGGCCCAAAATGTCTGCCATTGATTTAAAATAAAGTTGCAGTATCTTTTTACATGGCACGCAATCTTCTGCATGAGATTAGGGAAACGGGTGGTTTATTTCCTTAATTTGAGGCATACAAATTTCATCACCAAGACATCATTTGCAGTTACAAGAAACCAAAAAGCCCCCTCCCCCACCCTCCTCCCCGAACCCACTCTTGAACAACTATAGATCAAGGCATGTAGTGCGTCTGAAGGCTGCATTCTTTTCGAAAAAATGATAGGGGAGGGGGAAGGGGGAGGGGTAAAAAGGCTATGCTTCACTGAGGAAGGGAAATCGCCCCTAACATGTCAATTGGTTACTGAAAAATTGAGTACAACTTCAATACACATTTACCAGCACATTTTCCAGCTTTAAATCTCGATGAACAAATCCTTCTGAGTGGATATATTGCAAAGCCTCTAGGATATGTTGCACCCAGGATAAGACTTTCTTTTTGACTGTGCTGTTGGACGATCGAGCGGGTGAATCCTCTGGATGGGAAAGTACTCGATCTCTCAGAGAGCAACTACAAAGCTCGAGGACGATCATCACTTTAGTGCCGTTGGGGCTGTGGTGCAAATTGGTTCCATAAAAACCGACAATGTTTGGATGGTGCAGTTTTCTAAGACAAAGATAAAAGCCTCATTTGCCATTAAACTTCTAGGCAGCAGGGACACAATCGTTTTTTAATCGCATGCGTAACAAGTTATGGCATTTCCGGCTCTAGGTACCATGCAAAATCTGATACAGGACACCACGCACGACAGTTGATCTGTCAAAAGAACACAACTGTATCAGAGAAAATGGTCTTTGGGTATTCATACCTTAAAGCACGTTCCTCGTCTACAAAATGCCACACGTTGTTACTGGTAAGCGGGTCACTGTACATCTTGATTGCAACCATAATCTCTGGCGATCCTTTGCGATGAAGAATGCCTCTAAACACTGTGGAGAAGCTGCCTCCTCCAATGAAAAAATCTAAATTTTCAACATCGCACTTTAACTCTTCTCTTGCGAAATCCGACTGCCTGGTCTCTCGCAGAGTGTACACGGTTACATTGCGTCTCAGAAATTCCAGTTCGTTGTTTAAAGGCTCGTAGATCTTCCGAATCTCAGTACTGTCCCTCTCGTCTTCAAGTAGCCGTTGATAGATCAGCTCGTCACCTTCCCTCAGCTTTGGAATCTTCTCCTTGATCCGTCTTAGGTACAATACGGCGTCTTCAAGTTGTTTACTGATGAACGGAAGCAAGCGGTCTCGAGTAGAAATAACTTTGAGGCATTTCCGTGATCGCTTTGACATGTAGGCACATGGGTCATCGCGGAACCTGTCCAGTTTGGGTTTGTAGTGGAGCTTCTTTTTAAGTTTGGCTCCGAGCATGCTAAGTGGAGACCCTATCACCACTGATGCCAATCCTTGCCGAAGCCATGGAGGAGCAGTACTTGTTGGCAATCTTCCTCTTACTCTAGATCGTTTCAAATTTTCTCCACCTTCGTCCTGTGGAAGGTCGCCGTCCACCTCGTCCACGAAAAAAAAATCTTCTGCTACTTCGCGCATTTCTTCCTCCATTATATCATACTTTTTGCAACAATGTTGGATCAATGACACTCGAGCTCTGTCAAATTCGTTTTCTTCGTTTTCCCATTGCTTGACAAATTGGTGTGTTCTCTCTGAGACGTACTTTAACACCTCATTCTTTGTATCCGGCCATGTTTCAAGGGGTTTGGGTACTTCATCTTTAGACCATTTGCAGAAGCTCGAGATAGTTTTCTCCGATTTAAAGTGCAAAGCCAGCTTCTCGAGGATGTCTTCAAATATTTTCGACTGATGCTCACTAAGTTCGTCAAATATACGTTTCTGAGAATTCTGTAGCTCCTCCATGCGTCTTAACACTCTCTTGATTTTTTCTTCTGTCTCCTGATGAGACATTTTTGCCGACTTCAGTTTTATGCAGACTTGACGAGACATGCGATCGAGAAGATCCTCTAGCCATCTGATAAATAATAATATAAAAATTGTTTTATGTCATAACTACAACTGCTAAACAATTGAAATGACAATCAATGCAAAAATTTTAATTTCTTGGAATTTTAATTGAAAAGCAAGAGTTTCCTGGGTATTAATTGCACCTCACAACAAGTGTGATGCATACCGTTTCTTTTACCTGATTCCTCAGTCAGAGACAAAAAAGCAAAATATATATTTTTTCATCACCAAAAGTATCTTGTGCATTTTTCAATTTCAAAACTGATAATCCCCACAGCTGAAATAAATCAATAAAAAGTGAGAACTGAACAATCGTACGATGAAATCAGCTATTTACGATCGAGAGGCCATTGCTACGTTCGCACTGTCTTCTTGCAGCATTGTTTACGCATAGAAACAACACAGTTTGACATCTTACACGTCGGATTGCTAAGCCGTACTGAAAAGTGCGTGTTTGGACATTTTTAGTCGTCCGTTTCTTTCAAGAGGAGCTTCTAGCACAGGCAAGAAAAAATTGTAATTTCCTCGTCAGCTTCACTTAATGCTGTATTTTCATCGAAGAAAAATAAAGCCGTGTAACTTTTGGACAATCCCCTACTCCTCTTACAAGATTTTTTCCGCACAGTTGCGTAATTTCACTATATCTTTTGTTCGTTTAATTAAGGTGTGGGACAAAGGCGGGAATATTTGCATAAGTAAATGAGTTATCAAAAGAATTCAAAATGGCATCTTTCATCGGGCCGTACGCTAAAAATTATCATGGTGGTTTTCCTTAATTTCCTTCTATCCTTAATGGATGCACCTCTGCAGACAAAGAAGAGTACTCAAGTGGGAAAAAAAAGGGCTTCAAAGTCTCAAAATTGACGATGAAAACACTCCCAACCAATCGGTATGATATTATCTTAGAATTATTAGAAGTCCACCTACCTAGTATTCATCTGCAGATTATTCTTCATGGACGAGACTACGAGATTACTTATCCCTGTTATTAGGTTGCTGAAATCCTCTGTCACTACGCCATAGGTCTGAGCTAACTGCGCGCTTTTACACGACAAATAGACAATCTGCGATTTCGGATCCAGGTTACCAAGTATTCTTGTAAGCTTTCCGACCGTATCCCTTTTCACCTCTTCGCGTTCATTGTTCTTAACCAAATCCCATTTGTTGCAGACAAACAGCGTACAGGCAGCTGATAGTGACAAATCTAAGTTGGCACTTTTCCTCAGATTTTGAGCGCTCGTGAGTAGCTTTCCTAACTTAAAAGACAAAAGAAAAATCAAGTAAGACCTAAGAAAACTGACAAACGTCTATTCAACTTTTAGTTAGTTACTTCTTAAACCTATGCGTGGAAAATAAGGTCTGACAAGAAATGTTTCAGCTATCCTGCGCTCGCAAATATAGAGCCAATTGCTGATGGGATATTTCGGAAAATACCTATGTTTATGCACCTCTATGTGGTGCAAAAATATGCACGGATATTTGTCCGCGGACATTATTTGTTCCAACATGCGAACAGTTTTCCGAGAGCGAAGCTCGAGGAAAATTGTGAGCTTCGAGGAACAGATTATGTCCAAGTACAAGCATAAGTACATGTTTTAGCGCATAATAGAGGCTATTGTGTTTATTATCCTTCAAATATTTTGCAAAGTGCGTGGAAAAAATTTTACGAACAGCTTGGGATGTTTTCTTTTAAGTGTTCTCTAATACGACTAAATAAACAAAAAAATCTCCCTTCTTCTGTAACCACCACAAAACCCTCTCTCGTCTCCAATTTAATTTGAAACTAAGACTTACCGTAGCTGAAGTAAGGTTTGAAAATCGAGGGATATTGCTTGAATGTCACCCAGTTTTAGTTGGATGATATTCGGTCACGTGGTGTGTTTAGACCAATCGCGCGCACGCCAAAATATTTGATGAATTATAAAAGGGTTATTCCCATGTACATGTATGCTGATCCTTCCCCTTCCTCCCAAGTAATACTTCATAATTTTTGTGAAGAAGAATGTGTATTTGCAATGCATTAAAAACCAATCAGCAAATTGTGTTGCCAGTTTTGATGATACGGTGAGAGCACAGTTTACCCTTTAGCCATTTGCTTTGCATCATGTAGGTTCGCTCTTATTATTTTAAAAGCTTGTGCTTGCTACCTTCAAAAGTTCATGTACGATTTCAAGAGCAGAGGATTTTGCTCGTTCGGCCCGTGTTTTGCAAGCTGTTTTAAGAAAATGTCGAATTCGAAAATGAAGAAACTTAAAGACAGTTTTAAATAATGGACAACAACTCGAGATCTTCCTTTATGTTTGGCGAATTACTTGTTCTGAATACTGTGTATCGTATATCGGCCGGGCGTATCGGTGAGCTAAAAAGCTTTAAAGCTTAGGACTTACTTCTTGTACAAATCGAAAGCAACTTTAATTTTAAGAAGCGTGCTATAAAATTGGCACGGTCACCGTGTTATATCGTGCAAAGTTGCGAGCTAGATGTTAACACGTTCCTTTGTTTCTACCGTGCGAGGCAAGACAATGCCTGCGAAGTTAATGAAGAAAGTAACTTACACGCAGCTAGTGTGTTAAAAGCTCGTTCTTTTCTTTAGCGTGCTAGTGTACATCTCTTTTTCATTTTAAAACATTGCTCGAAGCTGAAACTGAGATTTAGCAAAACCTATATTTTTAAGGAATCACTGAAAGCAATGATGAAAACAGTACTTCTTTCTTAGGTGTCATTCTCCTGTGGATGTGAAGCCCACTTTTAATGAACCTCCTCTAAACTGATTATTAATGATAATAGGACCGAGTGGAGTCCAATTTCGATCTGTAATCATATGAATTAATAAAAAACGAGTATGATTTCGGACAGAATTGGACGACACGAAGACTTGTTAACAATTAATCAAAACTATGACAGAATTTGAGGAAGAAACTAGACGTCGGTTATTTGCTTTCATAAAAAAAGCAACAGTTAACCCAGCGCCCTATTCTGTCCAGTTACACTGGCATGACGTGTTAACTGTCCCTTTAACTGTCCTATTACAATGTCCAATTACAAGCATGACGCGTACACTGTCCTATTAATGCTCAAATCGGGCTGATGATAACCAATCACGTTCGAGAATTTTGTTCTGACTAGGTTTGTAATACCCAGTAATCCTTGTCCTTACCCTGTCGGGCTGAATTCCTCCAGCATTCGACGCACAGAGAACGTACATGAAACAAAAGGCCCGCGGCAGGTAGTTGAGAACAAAACTACTCATGACATCGCTTTCTCCTACTCCAGGGCTGTCAACGATCATGACATTCTCCTGAAATTGAAACATGAATCCGTAATGAGATTCGCTGTCCTATTACTTTTTACAAGTTCCGTGAGTTATTTTTGTAGATGATTTCATTGAAATATTAATTACCATGACCATCGTTTCTCAAAAGCTCTTTTTTTCAACCATTCGTCATGGTAAGCCATTAACTTACCAAGGTTCTCGTACCTTTATCTTAATGCATTGAAACCAAAGAAACCATGGAGTTTGGAACAAGCATTTACCAGTCCTTTTCACTGAAATTATCTTCGCCTCACACGCCGCGAAAGTTTTTTAGAAATAAGCAGTTTCAATCTTCATGATCTTACTTCATAGTTTATTCCATAGAGCTACGTGCAGAGGTTTACTTTTGATCCTGAATTTTTTTATATCGAAATTTGGTCATAACTTTTTCGCTTCATCTATCAACTTTGTTAGTACCTTAAACAAAGGGTGCGGAAAGAACAGTTCAATTTTCTCGTAAGGTGTTTTCTCTCGATCTTCTTTGACGTACACAAACTTCTCTATTTGTTCTTTGTAGGTTTTACTTCCATCACTCAATTCGTGAAAAGCTGGTTCTGGAGTTTTTGTTCCATTAGGCTTGTAGTGTACACCAACCATCAACTTTTCTCCGTATTTCAGCTCGCAAATTGTGGACGTGGTGCTTAATGTTGTAGAGGGAAGAAGGTCTTCTCCCAAGATGAGATTAATGACACTGCTTTTTCCAGCGCTAGTCTCACCTAATCAAGAGAGGAATCATAAAATAGAAGTCAATGACTAGGCATAATCTAGGCCTGGAACGCGTCAAAGCAAGATCAAAAAACATTACTTACGAACAAGATTTAAGTCACCTTGAACTGGCTCATCAAATTAGTGGCTAAGTGCGAGAGCATGATAACAAACAAACAAAAGCCAGACTACTCTAGAAATTTATGGATATTGCCCTCTCTTGCAGAGAAACATAAAATAATTTTGAATAAACAATTATATAATATTCTCTTTTAACGATTAAAGAAATGCAAAGGAGGGTGAATTAAGATGCTGGTGGCCTCCACAACGATTGTGACTGAATCCCAAGTCTAAGTTAATAAAGTAGTTATAATCATGATGAGGCCGATGTCTCTTTAACTGATGACAGCAAAACAAACCTGCAACAAGAACAACATACTGATCACTTGGTTCAACATTCTTCTTTCTCTCTTGCAAAGATTTGTTCAGGTCTTCGAAGCTTTTCTGAAGTATTTCCAAAAAATCCTCCTCAAACTGATCCATGAACTGCTCAGTTCTTTTGTATAGATCGAGTAACTTTCTGCGTTTGTCAGCGTCCGATTTACCAGCATCGGAGATAACTTCATGTGTCTGCAAGTAAAAAGATCTCAATCAAAATTGTTGAAGGTAGTTAGGACTAAATACATATCATCCAAGTGAACATGGATAACGTTGCTAAACTGTTTTTCCCATAGGAAGCCGCCTGAGTTCACGACTAATAACACTGCTAATTTTGAACACCTCGAGAGCTTCAATATTGTAAATCAGCGCTAAATGCAGCATGTTTGACGCGGTTTTTTTTTTTTTATAGAGAAACCCATTGCAAACACTTAGCTGTTGTTTAATGCTTTAAACAGAAGTCACTCTTTTTGTGCTTTGGACTAGCCGGGCTACCTCTCTGCGAGTAAGCACCAGTCCCCCTTGACCCCCAAGCAGTTCTTCTAAATATTCCATGGAACACGTAAATATTACTTCGACCACGTTCTCAATCCACAATGATAAGTTTGAAAGAAATTCTTATTTATGGACATAACTCTTATGAGGAGAGGGGATGCCCTTTTCGATCAGGTAATTTTGCAGTTGTATGAATATTCTTTCCGAGGATACGAAGACCTCAGAGCTTTAAAAAAGGACTGAAATCGTCACTATTGCTACGAGCCAATAGGTCTTAACTGTTGAATAAAAATGAAAATAAAGCTATCGATCTACAGTCTGGGAGAGCCAAACGAAACAAGCACTGGGTATAGCGGTACATCGATACATTCCTGCGTTACCGTATTCTTGATCACGTATTTCATGGTAATGTTTTGTGAATTTATCTCGCTATCTAACAGTTCACAAAGACTTAAAGGAGTACAAGGCTAAATAGAATTTCGAAAAATGATACCTAAGCATAGGTGCTTTGATGTTCGGGTGGATGATGGCCCCAGTCGTTCAATAAGCAGCCATTTTGGTATTTACGGGTTGACTGCACATATTTATTGGTCAATGATCGTAATGATTCCATGCAGAAGCTACGATTGTCCGTTTAGACTTCCGTGAGTTGTGTTCAGTGTTGATATTTCGTTTGAATTTTACATCATTATGATCTTAAACCATTCCTAATATTACGCACGAATAAAAATGGATAAATTTGCTTTAAAGCAGCATAACAAGCGAAACATTGTTTACTCCAACAGCCTAGATTTACATATAGTCGGATAATTTACCATATTCTGCACAAATATCTGTGATGTCTGAACTAAAAAAGTGTCACTGTGATCACACACCTCTCCAATCTTTCGCGACGAAGTCCCTTCCAACCCTTTTAAATGTTCACGAAGTTTTTTCTTCATCTCATCTAGTGAATTCAAGCCTTTCGTTGAAAGACCGAAAGATTGAATTAATTTGCAAGCTTTTGCTGGATCGTCTATGATATCCACTTTCTCCAGCCCAGTAGACATCATGCGTTTTTGACAAAATTCTCGAGAAGTCACGTCAACGGTAGTGTATCTTTTCAAATGGCGTTAGCTAATACCCAATGCAAGTTACTTCTTTTAAAAGCACTCGTAATGTTGCATTCCTCAAATCCTAGTTATCCATTTACCAGCCCATAGAGGTGCTCAACGGGTGATTCAAAGTCGCTACGCCTCTAACAAATCCTTTTCATGGCCACAAAACTGTACACGATCACTTGATCTGTTAACAGACCAAAATACTCTTCTCAGACAGTTGGCACTCTGAAATTCAACGGCGAATCCATCGTGAGAATTCCATTGAACGCTTAAAAAGTGCCTGTACGATGCATTTATGAAATAAGTGCAACAGACAGCAATTTAGTTTGCAAATAGCATAATACGCATACCGCGTCACGGTCGTTCAAAAGAATCAATTGTTAGCATGAATCATCAGGCTGCAGCCTTCATTTAAGCGTCATTTTCACATATTACACAGTTAACTCGACTAAACTGTATCTCACATTATTTTACTCTTGGAGGTAATGGAAAAGGTTTAAATGCAAAGATCATTGCCCCTTGCATAAATAAGTACAAAATAAGAGATTTCATATGTGGCTAATTCTGAGAAAAATGTGATGGTTTTTCTGGGAATAAAGGAAGTCCCTGTCATTACACATTTGTGGTTTCTTAGCTAGTAGTTGTTTTCCATTATGTAACAGTATTTCAAAATGCTGGTAAATTGATTGGCACGATGTGACAACACTTCAATCCGTAATGCAAGAGCGAAAATTAGATAATTCTTGCGTTCAAGACGAGCAAAGATTGTTTGTATGTCACGGTTGAAAGACATGTCTGTCATCACCACGAGCTGCCAGCCAATGAAATGATAAAATCTGCGACACTAATGGCAACCAGAAGCGATTTCCTAGAAAACAAAATCATCGTAAAATGTTCTCCCTCCGAGTTTGCTTTTCCGTCCATGTTTAGAAGAGAATTCTAACAACTTTAGAACGTGTGCGGTTTTCAACAAGGGATTCATGGTTGACTCGCGCCAAATAGCTTTGGAATGTTTGATTTCTGTAAATAGAGAAAGAATATCTGTTTTGTCGAGGTATAGTTCTGTTAGAGGCCAATGCAGCAACACGATTAGACTTTGATTATACTTAAAATCAACCGGGGATTGTTAGCTTAGAAGAGCAAAACGGTTAATAACCCTAGTACTTTCGCCTAAAATTTCTATTTTATCAGTTTCTAGAGCGAATTCGCTGCTTCATAGGTCGCTTTGCATTAAACGTAAACATGATATGAAAACTTGGTTACCGTAAGTCAACACATGATAATTCTAGGAAAGTAGGTCTTGCTTAACAATCCCAAAAGTTGAAAATCCATTCTCTACTGGGCGCCGTGTATTCAATTTTCCACAATTTCTTTTGGAAGAAAAAAATGGAAGCCATCAGGCAAAGATTGAATGAGGCAGATGACATCGCCGAGGTTATCGATTTAATGCAAAATTTGAGCATTCCAATTAAAGGATGCAAAAACATCAAAGACATGAAGGAAAGGATGCTCACCCATCTGAGCCCTCGAAATGAGGAAAGACTGTAAGGGAAGTTATTCAATTTTACAAACTTTTACCTGGCAGCAAGTATCCTTTAATCGATGAATGTTTACACTAAACTTGTCATCACATCGCTGTAGCTTATCGACGTGGCATCGTAAAACGAATGGCTCAGAATCTATAAGGCTTTCATATATCATGTATAGTTACTTTCTAAGACGTCTTGCAGTAACAGATTTTTACTTTTCTTACGCGATTAAAACTACTGCAAAGACTTCAAAGAAACAAAGAAACGCAACTTGATCCTTAAATCCAGCTCTATAATTTCATGTCTGTTCGGGTACTGATCAGTGCATCAATCGACCCAACATAATAAGAAGAACAGCTGCAGATCGCTCACTTGTAAATTTGTACAATATATGTTAATTCTGAGCTTTATGAAGTTATTGTCTCAAACTGGCTCTGAACTTTTTACTCAGAAACAGCTAAAGACCATTATCCTCTTTGTTGTTTTTATTTAATGTCATGGTTCACCTTGCCGCCAAAGTAGTCGGGCTTCTGCCTTTAAGAACTTGCTTGTAGCTTTTAAACTCACTGTCACGAGTAATCGAGCGGTTGCAGTCTCTCTCGGTCAGTTTCGGTCGAAAGCAGTAACAATCAAACGAAAACTATCAAGCTCACCATACGAAAAAATATGATTAACTCTAGTAACATCATAACAGTATCATGAGGCAAAAGACCTCATAGTCATTTGGCTGACAGCTCACCGAATGAAATTGAAATAAGTTAGGCTCAGCTCTATATTTTGTTCCGATCAGTGAAATCACAACAGCAGGTAGACAATCAGGCTTCGAACACAAAATGAAGTAATTACCTCAGTCCTTTCAACCTCAAAATTTATTTATAATTCATCTGACTCACGGTGTCTGTCATTTGTTTCTTGCAAGGTTAGTTGAGAATTAAACTAACAATACTGAAACCCTATTTGACTTTTTTTTTTTCTTTCTCCTTTCTGCTTGAAAACGATATTACCGATGCATCCAGAAAAAGAAAATAGGTGGCTTTGATGAAATGTCATGTCATTAGGCGGAACTAAGCTGTATGTGGCAGTGACAGAAAATGAAAATAATTTCCTCCTGGCACAAACAAACTCTTTTGTTGTAGTGTATGTGAAGTCTGACAGTGATAATTTATGCATCTCAGCCACTAAACAACAGGTGAGTTGTTGCTTAATGGACGTTCAAGCATCTCGTTAAAGTTTTTATACTCTAAATTATGCGTGCATAGTTAGTATATTTGGTGAACTGTACTCAATCTTTAACTGAAGGTCGGCGCGGCTGCATTTGGTCAGGAAATACTTTCTTATTGTCCCTGTGGCTTTTCTGGGTTTTCATAACAGGCGGGTGCTCGTTTGCCTTTTCTAAGTGTTGTAAACTATGCTTCGATCGCCCTTGTTATATATAGCTTCTTACTTGAGCTTGTATTTCTGCGCCGACACGGAAGGCAGTAAACGCTCAGTTCGAGCTGCAAACCCATACATTTGTCGTTTATCAGTTGTGAATAGGAACATGGAACGTAACTGATATCCTGCCAACTTAAACTTGGCGCTGCATTTTTAACAAGCAAAAAACCAACTTTCCTGAATTAAGTGTAAATTGCCCAGCGGAGATATTAGCTCTTTTCTCTTTTTGCCTAAATGTAACAATAAGTCTAAATATACTAATATGCTTCTTTAATCCATTCAATGTTTACGAATTTTTTAAAGGCCTTTGAGGTGATTTCAGAGGCACAATGGACATGAAAAAGTCATTAGCCCTTCCTGATTATTACGCTGAGGTGGAGAGGGAAATACAGAGTCTTGACGCTACCTTCTTTGATTTCTGAAAACAAGCGAGGACGACGTCCTTTCTAAAATCAAGACAAGAGTAAAAGAATGCGAGACAGATATTGGCTTGTTCTTGTAGCAGGTAAATATCTTCAATATAATACCTCACACAAACCACTGAGGTGCTTTGATCAGTCATGATCATGCTAAGCACAAAGAAAGCCGATCTAACAGTCACAGAGAGGAGTATCAAAAATCTACCTAGCTAGGACGTTACTCAATTAATTAATTAATAACCGTCAATTAGGGTCTATCGAATTCTTAAGAGAGTTTACCTTATCTAGCGAATGCCAGGCTGCTTTTGCCCTGCTTTTGCTTTTTTGCCCGCACTGGTCTCACCTCACCAAGAATGAGGTTCAACCTCGGTTGGACCTAAATTTTTTGCCATTTTCGGTTCTGAGTACAACATTTACAATTTGTGAATTGAAATATGGAAGACAGAAAAGGATAAAGATACACTATAAAGAAAAAGGAAAAACTCCGAGGATGAAGTATCTCACCGAATCCATGCCTTACATAGGTCAAATATCAGAATTTGTTCACGTCAAGTCTGAAAATTTAAGAGAAAAGGCATCAGACTACAAAAAAGTGGAATTGTTTTGGCCTAACAGGTTGTTATAGGTTAGAGACTTCCAAAATCATGTTTCAAGAGCTTCCTTTTATAAATATGATGTAAACTGGTAACTAAATTTCAGGACCCTATTCCAGGTTTTAACGCCGAACGATCGAAAGAAGTACAGGGAGAAAAGAACCTGATTACTCTGTTTCCACAATAGGACGGGTTCGTAGCAAAGGTAGCGTTGTGGCTTCAACTACCTTCTTTTTTTTATGCTTACGGTGTACGTCGCACTTTTATAGGCTATGATAAGTGAAGAAAGCTAAGGCGTTGCAAAAAGGAGCGTCTACAATAAGAACTTTTTCCTGGGCAGCAAAGATTTCAAGTTATGATAAAATTCCAGGAAATCTCGATTTCTACCAATGCCTTCGTTTTAGATCACGTAATTGACTACATAGTCACCAAATATAAATCAAAGAAGAGTTTGTAGAAATTATTATTAGGGGCGTTTCAAAACTAACATCACTGAATAGTCCAAACTTTACATTGTTTACGTTTCTGAGCCTTAACTTTTTCAGCGATGAACTTTAAAATGAAACCTATTTTTGTAGATTGTCATAAAGGACACGGGTGGTTCTTTTTCCGTTTTCTTTGCAAACTCAAAGTCTTTTTGTCTGTTTTCCTCACTTGGATAAATACTTCAGCTATATTCTATTGGTTAGCACACCCTTGACCGCAGTCAAGTGATTATGCTTATATCATTTTAGGTAATTAATTTATCGTATCCTAATAAAGCAGTTGTGTAGAGCACATGGTCTGATTCACGCATTACTCTATGGTAGTACATCGAACCCTAATGTACAACACATTTCCTTAGTGTTTTCCCTTAACAATTTCCAGCCACAAAGACCACGTGTAGCCCACAGACTGACTTGCACCAGGAAATAACGTTTTAAATCATACGAAAACGTAAAATTTAAAGACCCCTGCCGGTTTTACGAGAAAAGCAAAACCATAGCACAACTAACTAAAACTTACACTCACCATACATGAGTTTGAGACACAGGGCTCTTAGCAAACCCCCTTCCCCCCCTTAAATGGATTAGTCCTCTAGGGAAAAACTAGAGGGTAGGTTTTTGCAATGTAAATTGAACAAGCTCCCCCGTACCCGATGCTTTCAGATTCAAGAGTCTGTCCACGAGAGGACCGGGTAGGCGTAACACATGCCATCTCACCGATTTCGGGTCCCCGATTTCTTTAAAACTTTCACAGTTTACGAGGGTCACAATTTATTCAAGAATCCACATCAAATCACTGGGGTAAGAGGCTTAAATTGGCTCGAAAAATGCGCTTGCAACTAGTCACTCTCACAGCAACAGAATGCCGAGGATTTTACTCTTGTTTTGTCCAATGTTATTTCAACCTTAAGTAAACAATTTCTTAGAGTCGGGGTAATTTACTATAGTTTCTTCCAATTAAGAGCAGATAATCATTAACTGTGTCACGTAACTATTCTAAAAAAGAAAATTTACTCAAATGAAATGATTCTCTTTAAAGGAGACTGAAGACAAAAAATTAAGTTAATTTTTTTCGACAGCCAAAAAACGAATTCTTGATTTCAGCTGTTTTTTGTTCTAAATGTTTCTTCCCTCTGATAGATAATTCTTTAAAGTTTTTATTTTTTTTTGCACTGTTTCGGCTTTCAAACCATGGGCATCAATTTTAAATCAGATGTCTTCGGAAAAAGCTTGTGAAGTATGTTATGGGGAGAACCTGAGACCGTGCCCTGGTATCGTTTGGCTAAATTGTATCACAAGTTGTCTCTTCGTCACCCCTTTGTCATGAGCGGAGTAGAACCGTTTCAGTTCTTGACAATACGAACTGACATATCAACCTAGAGGAGAACCTTCTCAGGAAGAAAATGAATTACATATAGTCGAATAATTTACCATATTCTGTACAAAATCTGTTATGTCTGAACTGAAAAAGTGTTACTGTGATTACATACCTCCTCAATACTTCGCGACGAAGTCCCTCCCAACCGTTTTAAACGTTTACGAAGTTTGTTCTTCATCTAGTGAATTTAAGCCTTTCATTGAAGGACCGAAATATTTAATGAATTCGCAAGCTTAAGTTATATCGCCTATGGTATCCACTTTCTCCAGCTCCGTAGACATCATGCACTTTTAACAAAATTCTCGAGAAGTCACATCAACAATAAGTGTTTTTTTTTTTGATATGGCGTCAGATAATGCCCAATGTAAGGTTACTTCTCTCAAAACCACTCGTGATGTTGCATTCCTCAAATCCTAGTTATCCATTTATCAGCCAATGGAGGTGCTTGACGGGTTTTTCAAAGTCGTTGTACCCCTGAAAAATCATTTTCATGGCCACAAAACTCGGAAGGTAAAAACACAACTAGATTTTCTCCTGTACAAGAGCACTTGATCTGTTGGTACTTTGAAATTATCGATCGAGGGTAACTTCAACGGCGAATCCCTCTCAAGCTTCTTCAAAATGTTTCAAAAGTTCCTGTACGATCCATTTATGAAATAATTATAATAGGGATCAATTCACTCTGCAAAGAGCATCATACGCATTCCGCGTCACGCTCGTTCAAATAAATCAATTGTTAGCATGAATCATCAGGCTTCAGCCGTCTTATTAGCGTGATTTGCACATGTTGAGTAGTTAACTCGACTAAACTGTATCTCACATTGTTTTAGTTTGAGTTTTCATGGAAAATTTTTTAATGCAAAGATAATCAATTGCTCCTTGCATTATATATGTTACTAATTCTGAGAAAACTGAGATGCTTTTTCTGAGAGTAAAGTTCCTGTCATTGCACAGTTGTCAGAGGCACAGCAAGGTAGAATGGATTTGCAAGTCTCTTTTTGACCGCCGTCATTTGTGGTTTCTTTGACAATAGTTGTATTCCAATATGTATCAGTATCTAAAAACGCTGGTAAATTGAATGGCACGATGGATGTGACTCCACTTTCATCTGTCATGCAAGAGCGAAAACCAGATCATTGACTGCTTGCATGTCGCGGTTAAACCAGATGTCTGTTATCGCCACGAGCTGCCAGCCAATGAAATGAGAAAGTCCAGAGACGATTTCCTAGAAACTAATATCGTCGTAAAAATCATTGCTATCTCTCTTCGCTTTTCCGTCCATGTTTATAAGAGAATTCCAACAACTTTTGTTCGTATGCGTTTTTTAACAAGGGATTCACGGTTAATAGCTTTGAAATGTTTGATTTCTGTAAATAGAGAAAGAACACTTGTTTATGTCAAGGTTTAGTTCTTTTAGAGGCTGATTAGACTTTTATTATACCTAAAATCAGCCAGGGATTGGTAGCTTAGAAGAGCAAAGCAGTTGATAAAGCTAGTATTTTCGCCCGAATTATCTATATTATCAGGTTCTAGAGCGACCTCACTGCTTCAAAGGGCGTTTTGCATTAAACGTATACGTGACGTGAAACTTGTTTACCGTAAGTCGTCACATGATGATTCTAGGAATGTAGGCCTTGCAAAACAATCTCGAGATTGAAAATTCGTTCGCTATTGGGCGCCTTGTAATCAATTTTCCACAGTTTCTTTTTGGAATAAATAGATGGAAGCCATCAGACGAAAATTGGATGAGGCAGATGACATCGCCGAGGTTATCGATTTAATGCAGAATTTGAGCATTCCAACCAAAGGATGCAAAAACATCGAAGACATGAGGGAGAGGATTCTCGCTCATCTCAGTTCTCGAAAAGATAACCGCTTGGCCTGCAATGAGGTAGGACTGCCAGGGAAATGATTCAGTGTTACTAAATGAACGTGGATTTACTGGTTTTAGGCTTTCTTCGTTCTGATTTAGACATTTCCGGCATCATTTTATAGCTAAAGCGTCGTTGTTAGCTCATTGCATTCGATGGAAAATGTCTAAGTAAGCTAGCGGTCATAGCTATTGTCCTTCCACTTTACGTTTGCTCCTTATCATTAGGTTCTTTTGCACAACCTGGCTGGTTGCATGGGATGGGCCGGGAAAGACAATAGTTGGCAGCAAGTATCCTTTAATGCTATTCCTTTCATCTGTGCATTTCGAAAGCGAGTCGATGAATGTTTACACTAAACTTATTATCATCACATCGCTGTAGCTCATAAACGTGGCATCGTAGAGCGAATGACTCAGAATCTATAAGGCTCTCATATATCATGTATAGTTACTTGCTAGGACGTCTTGCTGTAACAGATTTTTTACTTTTCTCACTCGATTAAAACCACTGCAAAGATTTCAAAGAAACATCGAAACGCAAATCGATCCTTAAATTCGATTTTTGTAATTTCATGTCTGTTCGGTTACCGATCAGTGCATCAATCGACCCAGCATCATACAGCAGAACGGCTACGGATCGCTTGCTTGTAAATTTGTACAATATATGTTAATTCTGAGCTTTATCAAGTTATTGTCTCAAAATAGCTTCGAACGTTTTCCTCAGAAACACCGGAAGACTATTATTCTCTTTGTTGTCTTTATTCCGTGTCGTGGCTCAATGGTTCGGCCGCTTGTCATGGCTGCCATCGCCTTGCTGCCAAAGCAGTTGGGCTTCTGCCTTTGAGAACCTGCTTGAAGCTTTTAACCTCACTGTCACGAGTAATGGAGCGTTTGTGCTCTTTCTCTGTCAGTTATCGGTCGAAAGCAGTAACCATTACGCGAAAGCTAACAAGCTCGCCATACGAAAAATATGAATAACTGTGGTAATGTCATGACAGCATCATGTGGCAAAAGACCTTATGGTCATTTGGCTGACAGTTCACCGAATGAAGTTGAAATTAGTTAAGCTCCGCTTTATATTTTGTTCCGATCAGTGAATTCAAAACAGAAGGAAGACAGTTAGGCCTCGAACACAAAATGCAGTACTTACCTCGGTTCTCTCAAACTCAAAATTCATTTGTTATTCATCTGACTCCTGGTGTATGCCATTTGTTTCTTGCAATGTTAGTTAGTTGAGAATTAAGCTAACAATGAACCCTATTTGACTCTTTTCTTTACTTTTTTGTCCTTTATCAGTTGAAAACGATATTACCGATACGTCCAGAAAAAGAAAATTGGTGACTTTAATAGAATATATTGACTATCGGCAGAACTAAGCTTTAAGTAGCAGTGACAGAAACAAACTCTTTTGTTATAGTGTATGTAAGGTCTGACAATAGTAATCAATGTATCTCAGCTCTCGAACTTTCAATTAACAATTAGAGGAGCTTAGACTGTGCTCTGTACTGTTGTAAAGCACGCAGGAAGCGGTTGGAGACCGAAAGAAGTGTAGAGAGAAACACGAGACGTAATCATTTGCCTCTTTAACCCATTCAATATTTGCACATGTTTCAGGCCTTTAAGGTAATTTCAGAGGCACAAGCAATGGACAAGAAAAAGTCATTAGGCCTTTTTGATTATTACGCTGAAGTGGAAAAGGAAATTCAGGGTCTTGACGCTACCTTCCTAGATTTGCTGAAAACAAGCGAGGGCGACGTCCTTTCTAAAATTAAAACAAGAATGAGAAGAATAGAAGACAGAGATTATGTTGTTCTTGTAGCAGGTGAATATCTTGCGTATAATACCTTGCCCAAACCACTGAGGTGCTTTGATCATGATCATGCTAAGCACAAAGAAAGCCGATCTTACAGGGACAGAGAGGAGTATCAAAAATCTACTTGTTTAGGACGTTTCCCAATTAATTTTACTTTATTTTAAAAAAATTGTCAACTAGGGTCTATTGAATTCTTAAGCCGGAGAGTTTATTTATGTAGCAACTTGTCAGGCTTTGACTTTTAAAACCGGAAAGTTTACGTCGAATAACTCGAACTCGAGTATATGGGCGGGAGACTTTATGGCAATTTTAATTTACTTATAGTAAAATTTCAAACTAATATTTATTGTTTAAGGAAGAACTTGAGATTTAAGATTTGATGATAATTTTGTATTTTACTTACGCTTAGGGGAGACCAGTGCAGGCAAAAGCAGCATGTTGAACCTAATTCTTGGTGAAGAGCTTTTGCCATTTTCAGTTCTGAGTACAACATCTACAATTTGTGAATTGAAATATGGAAGAGAGAAAAGGATACAGATACACTATAAGAAAGAAGGAAAGGCTCCGGAGACAAAGAACCTTACAGAATCCTCGCCTTACATAGATCAAATATCAGAATTTGTTCACGTCAAGTCTGCAAGTTTAAGAGAAAAGGCATCGAGCTACAAAAAGGTGGAACTGTTTTGGCCTCACCGATTATTACAGGTTAGAGACTCCGACGATCATGCTTCAAACCATACTTTTATCAATATGATGCAAGGTGGCAACTAAATTTCAGAACCTTTTTGGAGGTTTTAACGCCGAATGGTAAGAATCACGGGGAGAAAATAAACTTGTTTACTCTGTTTCCACAATAGGACGGTGTTGTGATCGTTGACAGCCCTGGCGTCGGGGAGTCTGACATTATGGACGACATTGTTGTGAACTACTTGCCAAATGCCTTTGCTTTCATCTATGTCATCAACAGCAGCAATGCCGGAGGAGTTCAAAGAGATCGGGTGAGTAATTATTGATACTTTCTGAAATGATTACCGGCAAATCCTTTCAACTCCTCACCAGCGCTCGATCTATTTATTAGATCACGACTTTTTTAGATAGCTCATAGCTTATTTAAGCCCAAGTTTTAATTGAATTGTTTTCAATAACCTGTTTCCTCATTTGTCAGCTTGTTCGACTTCTGCACAAAACGAGGGAACTCACAACTGAGCAACAAATGGAATTCTCACCAAACTGCACTTTGTTCGTTTGCAACAAGTGGGACACCATACCACCCTCAGAGGGAGATGTGGTCATAGCGCACATAATCAACAAGTTGAGTCAGTGTTTGCCAGATCTAGACACAAATACTCAAATCATCTGCCTTTCAACTACTAAAGCTCTTGCGGCCCAGAAGTATGGAGTCATGAATTCAGAATTTGCCTCACTTACAGACAAGATTGGCTGCTTGGTTTCGAAAAGCATCGAAACAAGACTTGAACAACATTGGAGGTAATTTAGATCATTTATAAATGTATGTTAATCATGAAGCTATTATTTATTAGGCAAAAAGCACCTCGTTCAGTAATGGCCTGTCATCAAGATTTCTCTCTTTCCAACAAAAATTAGGAACTGCCATAGACGAAAGTAGTTGTATAAATTTGCACCTTTTCCTGATTGCTTAAACCCTCCTCTCGATGGAAGTCTAAGGCGAAAGAAGCCATATCCGAGGTGTAGTAATTGAGGGATAGATAGAAACCTCCTCCTCTGAATTTCCATAAAAAGGGTGAAAATAATAGAATCATGCAATATTCCTTGAATGACGCCATGTCTCTCCACTGGAGCAGCTATTCTCTACCCATCTCTGACAAATATATGAAGAATAGATGTATGGACGGCTACCTTAAGAAAAACCAGGAACCTTTTCAGGTTTTCCTCAGAGAAATCGGGAAAAAATGTGTACCCATGGCATAGAATTAACAATCATCGATCTTTATTGTGCGTTCAACTGGTAACTATATTTTACTCTTCCTTAATCTGTACAGGTGGCTAGATCATTTGCTGTCTCGAATAGCCTGGCTTATGAGTACATTAATAAGTAATATCTCCACTGACCATGTGGCTGTAACGGCTAGATTAAATGCTGTGATAGAGAGGCTGAGGAAGCTTCAAGCGGAACAGGAGTCATCGAAGGAGGAAATGATGCGATATCTTGGAAGCAGGACTCGTCTGGCCATCGACACCCTAATCGACCACCTACAGACTCCCCAAGTGGTAGAGATATTTTGTAAGTGGAACTCTGACGAACTTCCAGCTGTTGAGAAGTCATGGGAAGTTACCAAGGCTGCCCTTGTTAAGCTTCTTCAAGGAAGACTACAGATGTTGATTGAAGAATGGGAGGAAGAGCAGCAAAAGTTTGCGGAGGCACGGAAATCAGTGATCAAAAAGTTCCTCGAAAAATACAATTATCTGGAGAGAGAGCTTCGCAACGTAGAAGTCAGTGTTTCTCAAATACAAGTAAATGTTGAAGGAGAAACGGCAAGCGAAAGTTTAGAGGATCAAGTTTTCAACAGCATTTACAACTTTTCGCTTCCATTTGAAAGTAAACTTTATCTTGGAATAGCGATTCCTTTCTTGGTTCCAGCTTTTCTTGTCGGAGCTGCGTTTGCTGTTCCAGTAACACTGCTTCTTCTTCCCATTGCGGGGGTTAAATCTATTGCCGACAACATCAAAGAAGCAAAAAAGAAGAGTGCATACAATAAAGATCGCGCTGAGTACGTACGAATCATGGCACAAAAGTTTCTAGCAAAAGCTGCAACCTTCGAGGCGCTAAAGCCACTGGTCGAAGCGCAATTAGAGCTGGCAGTAAACACCCTGAGCGACCTGCAAGCGAGAATCCCTATGCTTGTTGAAGCCGATGTAAAACTTTGTCAGCAACTTATAGAGGAGGCGCAAAGCAAGAAGGATTCTGAAGCTCGCTACAAGCCCTGTAGAGAAAAATGCAAGCGTTTGCGCGGTGAGCTTGCCTTGTTTGGTTCTACGGAAATCCGGTGCATGCGGCTCTCCTGGGATGACCTTTCTTGGGATGTCAGCGAGGATGTTTACTTGAAGCAAACAATGGAACCTGGGCTCTACCAAGGACACATTTCCAAGGGAAGGTACTCATCAAGAGGTCAAGTAACTTTTAAAGTGTACAGAGAACTGCTGACCAGGAGCAATATTATTGATTGCTTGGCAGACGAAGCAATCTTGAGGTACAACTTTACTAATAAACAAACAATTTCTTATCAAACACTTAACCAACAAGGATTTAGGATTTAGAACACGCGTTGTGCTAGTAACACGTAGTAACACTTTGGTATTCTTCCAAAATACCCAAGTCACTTCAGTAGGTGTGTTGAGCTATTTTTCCTGAAACATGACACTCGTATTGGCATTCCTCGTTTAACGTACAGTTCTGTTCGATTCGTTCTGGAATTAATTTTCACCGGTTCAGTGCTCTACCAACCGAGATTACAAGCCAACTGAAAGCTGGTAATCGTGTTGATTCGTAATAAACTGCCACTGCATAGGTCATGGGTTCAAATCCCATACAGGCCTAAATTTTTCCAAGCCTTATTTTCACTACTGCTCAAGTATTTTTTATTTCTGTGAGGATCGCTTTCATATTTATTTCCTAAACCGCAATACACACACTATGCGAATATGTGATTTTCATATATATATAATTTTCATATGTTTACAATGTTTTTGAAAATGTTTTCCCACTTTCTTTAGTCATTTTGTTGTTACTCCTACCAGGTCCAAAGTTAAAAGTTGACCACATCTTTCTTGTTTTTGTTGTTTACTCCACAGGAGGCTTTGCCATCCTCACATTGTCACGTTTTACGGTGCTGTTTTCAGAAAGGTTCCAAGAGGATTAGAAGCAGCCTTTGTATCTGAGTGTCCAGGAGTTGATTTAAAGTACTATCTGATCGATCAGCCCGGAAATTGTCCTGCAAGGAATCCCACATCTACAGAGAATGCGATTCGCTGGGCAGACCAAGTCGTCGAAGCACTGATGTCGATTTACAGCATATTTGACGGATGTGTTCACGGTGACCTTCGCTTAAAGAACGTTTTGGTAGGGAAATATTTTATTTGTAATAAAACGATTTGTTTTAATTGGTTTAACACTCAAGGAAAAAATAATAAATTTAGAAACTATCAGAGCGCGGACACAAATATAGCTCTAATAAGATTTCCAAGGTCTATAACTCGCAGTAAAGTAAAGGGTTAGATTATTTCTCTCTCCCGTGTGTACGGAGCTTTTCTCGTTTAAGGACTTCAGCGTCACTGTTTTCAAACTTAGTCTTAAAGGCTGTCTTTAAGTACATTTTTTGATCTGGACTAAGCCAGGCCAAATAGCTTGCAATTAGACCCTTACACTTTTGAAATAAACTATAACTGCGGAGTGATCGCCCCTATCAACTATTGCATAGTTTGCACTTATTGCAAAAAGTCATACATCGATGAAACAAGAAGACGACTGAGTGACCGATTCCGAGAACACCTTCGCAACGTAGAAGGAAATGACAAGGACAAATCCAAACCAGTTGCTAGATAATTGATCTCCCTAATCATTTTAAGCAGCATATGGCAGTTTGAGGCTTTTCCCTACATCTAAATAGTTCAGAAAGCCGGAAAACTCTAGAGCAAAAGTTAATCACTCACACCGGCATCCTTAATCCCCACGGTATCCACGAGCGCTTTTCATTCAACTAATGAAGTCAGCTTTTGAACTCTATACAATGGCTAATTTACGTGATCGACTCAGCCAAACTACCCTGTTATACTCTTCCACCGATGCAGCGCCAAAATTCTGTAGAAACTTACCCCTTTTATTCAGTTATATTATAGTTATGAAGCAGGATATAAAATCCATCTCATAACATCGAAAAGCAGATGAAGATATGACTGCTTTGTTCATAAACAAGTGCGTTTCAACCAAAGCAGTGACCCTTGCCTCTTCAGAAAGTGGAATCATGCTCAGTTCTATTCTATTTCTTTTGGCGAGATCCAATGTATTCTTTCAAAATGCTAGTCAACCAAACAAAACCAGTGTTTATCAAGTTTCTTTTAATAATCAATTGAAGTTTTTTTTTTTTTTTAATTTACATAGCTTGACGGTTCAAATCTCCGTGATATTAAGCTGAGCAACATCTCCCTCAGGAGGCAGCTGACCATTGAGCATGGATCAAACTGTGATGCATTTCTTCATCTTCCGCCAGAAGCTGTGCGAAATAGAAACTACAATGCCTCTTCAGAGATTTACTCCCTCGGGATCTTGTTCTGGGAAATGTGGTACGGCGAAGAAGCCTTTCACGATCTAAAAGGTCAGAAGATGGAAGTTTTTTTATCAAGCGTAGAAGGAGGCCATCGTCCCGATCTAACAGGTGTCACAACTCAGACATCCGTTATGTGGACTGGCCTCGTTTCTGGATGCTGGGAAAAGATAGCCTTAGAACGAAGTAGTCTCGCAGATTGTAAGTCAACTATCGGGGAAATTTTAGCTAGTGCAAAATAGAGCCTATCCTGGAAAATATCCCCGGAATACTGAGCTGGATTAGCCTCAAACTTTGAAGTTAACTACACTGTGGAAGTTACAGTCCTATCCTTTGTATCAAATTACAGACATGATCTTTTAAACTAAAACAGTCAATAAATGTTTGGTTTGTGGCCTTCCATTTTTCCCTTTTTCATTTCATTTGTGCTTTAAACCAGTTTCAATTGCTTCTGTGATCGGAAATTTTTTTAACACCATGTTAGGCAAGTCCTTACAATTAGTTGTTACTTTATACCTCTCTTTCTAACTTGTCAGTTCCATTAACCTTTCCACTACCTATTTTTCAAGTTTCTGATTAAATGGAAGTCAGGAGTGGAAACTGTGGTACAGAGAAAGTTTTTCCTTACTGTCACGAAAGTCTCTTATAATGCAATACTGAGGCCATCAACACATTTTTTTTATAACTGTTCCTTAAAATTGCAATTCTCTTTTTTTTGCTTTTGATAGCTTTAATCAGTTAGTCTTTATTCAGTGAATATGAATTTCAATAAAACTTCGGGAACTTTTGATCTTATATGTGGGATGCTAATTAACTGCGTGTTTTATAACTTTTTCCTGTAATCACCTTGTGGTGAAGGGGTAGTTCATGCCTTTATTTTCTTTATTTCGCTAAAGGACGATTTTCTGTTTTAATAACGCACGCAAGTATCCAAAGGAATTTAATTGCAATCACTATTAGGATGACTATAGACAATTGGGACATCTCACATTTCATTTCATTTCTATACAAGGTAGTTTATCTTTTTACCACCGCATCAGGGAGAAGCATTTTTTCATCCTTATCATCTGCTCTTAGTAATTACTTTAGTTTAATAAAAATTTCCAATGTGCAAGTTTGAAAAATTTAGTTTTAAATAATTTACAATGATCATGTAGTGAAAATAAGCGATACCAATTGCAATTTGTATCTCTGCTTATCACACTTTGTGGTTCTAGCTTTGAGAATAGATGATATAAAATGAACTCTTGAGCTATAATGTGTAGACCACGAACATATTTCTTACGTAGCACAGAACAGTTATGAGAAATTTTGAACGCGTCTGATGTCCAGAGAAGCTAAATTAAATTTATTTGGTAAATTAGTGTACGAAACGATACAACGTTGTAGAAAAAAAGCCAAAATACGGAAGGAGATGGAAGAAAAAAGTAGATTCACTTGTAATTGTACACATAGAGGTTGCGGCTTACTCAAATCCTCAACAACTGCAAGGGTAACATAGTGCGAGGTGACAATAATTCAAACTCCACTTGGTAGATTTAAACTGATTTAGTGACAGATCACTCGGTAGCGTTTGAAATGAAGGGTCACGAAGATAGCGAAGATCTAAGATCGTTGGGCTTAGTAGCAGTAGCAGTAGAAAAAATAGTAATAGGTTCGAACTGAAATACGATAATTGAAAGATAGATTCTAACTATCAAGAGACATAGAACAACAATAAACTAGCGAACTCCTAGCGTAAAATTAATAGACGTGATAATTTTCGTGTCATAAAAATTATCATCAAACGAAGGTACAAACAGCAGTATCGTACTAAAAAAAAAAGGTAGCTAAATGAGCATAAAAGGGTAACAATTTGAAAAGAAAGAAGAACAATTTGTAAATGAGATCTTTAGTCAACACTTAGTTGACTAAACGAGACGTTCTATGACCGAGAAAAGGTTGATGATTCCTGTGACTTAATTAATAACAAAGACTAACGTACTTTGGTTGACGACGCACACCAAAAAAAATAGCAAGACACTTGAGATAGGGTAGCTTGAATCCTTTTGATCCTGGCAAAGGTGCGGTGTGGCCTCACCTAACTTCCTTTTTTTTACTTACGGTTTGCTTCGCACTTTTATAGGCTATGATACGTGAAGAAAGCTAAGGCGTTGCTAAAAGTAGCGTTTACAATAAGAACTATTTCCTGGGCAGCAAAGATTCCAAAGTTATGATACAATTCCTGGATATCGCGATTTCTGCCGATACCTTCATTTAAGATCACCTAGTCTACTACAAAATAACAATATAAATCGAAGGAAAGTTTGTAGGAAATTAGTGTTAGGGGTGTTTAAAAACTAACATCACTGAATGGTCCAAACTGAACATTGTTCACTGTCTAGGGCCTAACTTTTTCAGGGACGAACTTTAAAATGAAATCTATTTTTGAAGATTGTCATAAAGGACATGGTTGGTTTATTATTTTATTTTATTTTTCGCGTTTTCTATGCAAACTCAAAGTCTTTTTGTCTGTTTTTCCTATTTGGATAAATACCTCAGCTGTATTCTATTGGTTAGCACACCCTTGACCGCAGTCACGTAATTATGCTTATGTATCATTTTATGTAATTAATTTATCGTATCCTAATAAAGCAGTTGTGTAGAACACATGGCCTGATTCGCGCAGTACTCCATAGTAGTACCTCGAACCCTAGTATACAACACTTTTCTTAAGTGTTTTCTCATAACAGTTTCCAGCCGCAGGGACCACGTGTAGCCCGCATGCTGACTTGCACCGGGGAATAACACTTAAAATCATACGAAAACGTAACATGTAAAGACCCCTCTGAATATGCCGGTTTTATGAGAAAAGCAAGCCATAGCATAATTAACTAAAACTTACCTCTCCCCACACATGAGCTTGAGATACAGGGCTCTTAGCGACTTCCCTCCCTCCCCCCTTACATAGATCAGTTCTGGGGAAAAACTAGAGGGTAGGTGTTTGCAATGTAAATTGAACAAGTTCCCCCGAGCCCGATGCTTTTAGATTCAAGAGTCTGTCCACGAGAGGAGCGGGTAGGCGTGACACATGCCATCTCACCGATTTCGGGTCCTGATTTCTTTCAAACTTTCACAGTTTCTGAGGGTCACTAATTTATTCAAGAATCCAGAGTGGTTCGGGCTCCCGGTATTAGAGCCCCCACATCAAATCCGTGGGGTAAAAGGCTTACATTAGTTCTAAAAATGCACTTCCAACAAATCACTCTCACAGCAACAGAATGCCAAGGATTTTACTCTTATTTGGTCCAATGGTTGTTTCAACCGTAAGGAAAGAATTTCTTAAAGTTGGGGTAATTTAAGATAACTTCTACCAGTTTAGAGTAGTTAATCTTTAATGGTTCTCTTTAAAGGAGACCGAAGCCAAAAACTGAGTTAATTTTTTTCGACAGCCAAAGAGACGAAATTCTTGATTTCAGCCGTTTTTTTTCAAAATGTTTCCTCCCTCGGAGAAATATTTCATTAAAGTTTGTATTTTCGCACTGTTGCGGCTTTCAAACCATGGGCATCAATTTTAAATTGGCGGTCTTCCAAAAAAGCTTGTGAAGTATGTTATGGGGAGTACTTGAGACCATGTTCTCGTATCGTTTGGCTTAATTGTATCACGAATTGTCCGTTCGTCGACCCTTTGTCATGAGCGGAATAGAAAAATTAACTGTTTCAGTTCTCGACAATTCGAACTGACATATCAACCTGTAGGAGAACCCTCTCAGGAAGAGAATGAATTACATATAGTCGGATAATTTACCATACTCTGCACAAATATCTGTAATGTCTGAACTGAAAAAGTGTTACTGTGATTACATAACTTCCCAATCCTTCGCGCCGAAGTCCTTTCCAACCACGGCACAAAAACCCTTGTTCATCGTTAGTTTTCTGAAATGGTGAAAGACTGAAAAATTCGACATCATACTAATGTTTTCTGATATCTGAAAACGGATGGCAAATTTACTGTTCACCCTCGGTAAAACTCAAGAAAAACACGAATAGCCTGTTTTCTTGAAAGTTTTTCTGTAGTTTTCCTGTGTGCGCGAACGCTTCATTTTCCACGTGTTTTCCCACAGAATTACTGACGGTTAACGTCATGAAAACATGATATTTGTCGATTATCGAAGTTTTTTTTTCCATCTCATCTAGTGAATTTAACCCTTCATTGAAAGATCGACATATTTAATTAATTAACAAGCTTCAGTTATATCGTCTATGCTTCCACTTTCTCCACCTCCGTACACATCATGCACTTTTGACAAAATTCTCGAGAAGTCACGTCAACAGTAGTGTTTTTTTTTTTTCAAATGGCGACAGATAATACCCAATGTAAGGTTACTTCTTTCAAAATCACTCGTAATGTTGCCTTCCTCAAATCCTAGTTATCCATTTACCAGCCTATAGAGGTGCTTCACGGGTTTTTCAGAGTCGCTGTGCCCCTGGCAAATCCTTTTCATGGCCACAAAACGCGGAAGGTAAAAACGCGACCAGACTTTCTCCTGTACAAGAGCACTTGATCTGTTAACAGATTTTAATACTCTTCTCAGACGGTTGGCACTTTGAAATTATCGAGGGTAACTTCAACGGTAAATCCTTCTCAAGCTTCTCACAAAATGTTTGATCCATTTTTGAAATACTTACAATAGGCATCAATTCAGTCTGCAAAGAGCATAATAGGTATACCGCGCCACGGTCGTTCAAATGAATCAATTGTTAGCATGAATCATCTGGCTACAGACCATGATTGACGTTAGCGCGCTAAGACAGTATTTGTGGAGAGTGGAAGTTCGTCTTTATGACTCCGTGATTTCCACATTGGTAACTCAACTAAACTGTAAACTCACTTCATTTTAGTTTTGGAGGTAATGGAAAAGGTTTAAATGCAAAGATAATCAATTGCTCCTTACATTTCATGAGTTACTAATTCTGAGAAAACTGTGATGGTTTTTCTGGGAATAAAGTCCCTGTCATTACACATTTGTCAGAGGTACAACAAGGTATAATGGATTTGCAAGTCTCTTTCTGATCACTGTCATCATTTGGTTTATTTGCAAATAGTTGTATTCCAATATATATAAGTATTTCAAAACACTGGTAAGTTGATTGGCGCGTTGTGACTCCACTTCAATCTGCAATGCAAGAGCGAAAATCAGATCATTGACACTTAACGACTGCTTGCATGTCATGGTTGAACCAGATGTCTGTCATCGCCACGAGCTACCAGCCAATGAAATGATAAAGCCTGCGACACTAATAGCAATCACAGACGATTTCCTCTAAACTAATATCATCGCAAAAAATCATTGTTATCTCTCTTTGCTTTTCCGTCCATTCTTATAAGAGTATTCGACCAACTTTTGATCGTATGCAGGTTTCAACAAGGGATTCATGGTTGACTCACGCTAAATGGCTTTGCAATGTTTGATTTCTGTAAATAGAGAAAGAAAATATGTTTGCGTCAAGGTATAATTCTTTTAGAGGCTGATGCAACAACGAGAAGATTAGACTTTTATTATACTTAAAATCAGCCGTGGATTGGTAACTTAGAAGAGCAAAGCGGTTGCTAGCGTTAGTCTTTTCGCCCGAAATATCTATGTTATCAAGTTCTGGAGCGACCTCCCTGCTTCAAAGGTCGCTTAGAAGTAAACTTAAACATGATATGAAACTTTGTTTACCATAAGTCGTCACATGATGATTCTAGGAATGTAGGCCTTGCAAAACGATCCCAAAAATTGAAAATTCCTTCGCCACTCGGCGCCGTGCATTAAATTTTCCACAGTTTCTTTTGGAATAAAAAATGGAAGCCATCAGACGAAAATTGGATGAGACAGATGATATCGCCGAGGTTATCAATTTAATGCAGAATTTGAGCATTCCAATGAAAGGATGCAAAAACATCGAAAACATGAAGGAAAGGATTCTCGCTCATCTAAGTTCTCGAAAAGATAACCGCTTGGCTTGCAATGAGGTAGGACTGCCGGGAAAATAATTTAATTTTAGTAAATGAATGTGGATTTATTGCTTTTAAGGGTTCTTTGTAATTATTTAGACATTTCTGGCATAATTTTATAGCTAAAGCGTCTTTGTTAGCTCAGTGCAGTTGAAGGAAAATGTATGGGTAAGATAACAGTCATATCTATTGTCTAAGACTTGTCTATCCATTTTACATTTACTCCTTATCTTACCGTTGCATTAGGTTCTTTTGCACAGCTTGGTTGCATGTGAAGAGCTGGGGAAACATTGCTACCTTAACAAACTTGTACTTGGCAGCAAGTATCCTTTAATGCTATTGCTTTCATCTGTGCATTTCGAAAGCTAGTCGACGAATGTTCCGAACCAATTATCATCACTTCGCTGCAGCTCATCGACGTGGCATCGTAAAAAAAATCGCTCAGACTCTATAAGGCTCTCATATATCATGTATAGTTAACAGATTATTACTTTTCTCACGTGATTAACACTACTGCAAAGATTTCAAAGAAACATAGAAATGCAACTTGATCCTTAAATTAAGTTCTATAATTTTATGTCTGTTCGGTTACCGATCAGTGCATCAATCAACCCAAAATTATACAGCAAAACGGCTGCAGATCGCTCGCTTGTAAATTTGTACAATATATGTTAATTCTGAGCTATATGAAGTTATTGTCTCTGTGGGCTTCGAACTTTTTACTCAGAAACACCTCAAGACTATTATTCTCTTTGCTGTTTTTATTTCGTGTCATGGCTCAATGGTTCGGCCGCTTGCCGTTGCTGCTATAGCCTTGCTGCCAAAGTAGTCGGGCTTCTGCTTTTAAGAACCTGCTTGAAGCTTTTATACTCTCTGTCACGAATAATCGAGAGCGTTTGTACTCATTCTCTGTCGGTTTTCGGTCGAAAAAAGTAACAATTACAGCGAAGCTATCTCGCTAGCCACACGAGTAATTGTGGCAATATCACGACAGTATCATATGGCAACAGACCTTATAGTCATTTGGCTGACAGCTCACCGAATGAAATTGAAATAAGTTAGGCTCCGATTTATATTTTGTTCCGATCAGTAAATTCACAATAGCAGGCAGACATTCAGGCCTCGAACACAAAATGCAGTAGTTATCTTAGTCCTTTGAACCTCAAAATTCAGTCGTAATTCATCTGAGAGTGCCTGTCATTTGTTTCTTGCAAGGTTTGTTGAGAATTAGACTAACAATAAACCTTATTTTACATTTTTCTTTGTTCCTATCTCCTTTCTGCTTGAAAACGATTTTACCGATACATCCAGAAAAAAAAAATGGTGGCTTTGATGAAATGTATTAACATTCGACTGAACTAAGCTCTGAGAAGCTTATACAGAAAATAAAAATAATTTCCTCCGGGCACGAACAAATTATTTTGTTGTAGTTTATGTGAGGTCTGACGGTAATAATTTACGCATCTCAACTCTCGAAATTTCAGTTTTAATCCAAACAGGTGAGTTCTTGCTTAATGGAAGTTCAAGCATCTCGTTAAAGTTTTTATACTCTAAATTATACGTGCTTAGTTATAATATGTGGTGATCTGTACTTTATCTTTAACCGAAGGTCGGCGCAACTGCATTTGATTGGGAAATACGTTCCTATTTTTACTGGTTTTTTTTTTGGGTTTTCGTAATAGGCGGGTGCTCGTTTGCCTCGTCCAAGTGTAATAAACTATGCTTCGATCGACCTTGTTATATACAGCTACTACTTGAGGTTGTATTTCTGTACTCACACGAACGGCAATAAACACTCAGTTCGAGCTGCACAACTATATATTTGTCGATTTTTAGTTGTGAATAGGAATAGGGAATGTAACTAATATCCTACCAACTTAAACTCGGCGTTGCTGTTTTAACAAGCCAAAAACCAACTTTCTTGAATTAATTATAAATTTGCCAGTGGTAAAATTAGCTTTTTCTTCTCTTAGCCTAAATGTAACAAGAAGTCTAAATATACTCAATTGTTTCTTTAACCCATTGAATATTTTTGCATGTTTCTGGCCTTTAAGGTGATTTCAGAGGCACAATTAATGGACAAGAAAAAGTCATTAGCCCTTCTTGATTATTACGCTGAGGTGGAGAGGGAAATACGGGGTCTCGACTCTACCTTCCTTTATTTGCTGAAAACAAGCGAGGGCGACGTTCTTTCAAAAATCAAGACAAGAATGAAAAGAATGGAAGACAGAGATTATGTTGTTCTTGTAGCAGGTGAATATCTTTAATATAATACCTTGCCCAAACCACTGAAATGCTTCGATCAGTCATGATCATGCTAAGCACAAAGAAAGCCGCTCAAACGGTGACAAAGGTGAGTATCAAAAATCTACTTGACTAGGACGCTAGCGAATTTTGAGGATTTGACCATTAAAACCGGAAAGATTACGTCGAATAACGCAAACTCGAGTATGTGGGCGGGAGACTATGGCAATTGTATTTTTACCCTCATTTTATAAATAAAATGTAAGGTGGTAGCTAAGTTTCAATGTTCAAAAGAAGTACAGGGAGAAAATAACTTATTTACTCTGTTTTCACATTAGGACGGTGTTGTGATCGTTGACAGCCCTGGCGTCGGGGAGTCAGATATAATGGACGAAATTGTTTTGAACTACTTGCCAAATGCCTTTGCTTTCATCTATGTCATCAACAGCAGCAATGCCGGAGGAGTTCAGACAGATCGGGTGAGTAAATTATTGATACTTTCTGAAATGACTACAGGGAAATCTTTTCAACTCCTCACCAGTGCTCGATCCATTTATTAAACCACGATTTTTGTTGATAGCTCAGAGCCCAAAAAGCTATCTCATTTAAGTCCTATGTTTTAATTGAATCGTTTTAGTAAGCTTGTTTCCTCTTATGTTAGCTTGTTCGACTTCTGCACAAAACCAGGGAACTCACGACTGAACAGCAAATGATGTTCTCACCAAACTGCACTTTGTTCGTTTGCAATAAGTGGGACACCATACCGACCCAAGAGGGAATTGTGGTCATGGAACACATAAACAAAAAGTTGAGTCAGTGTTTGCCAGATGTAGACATAAATACTCAAATTATCTGCCTTTCAACTACTAAAGCTTTTGCGGCCCAGAAGTATGGAGTCATGAATTCAGAATTTGCCTCACTTACAGACAGGATTGGCTGTTTGGTTTCGAAAAGCATCGAAACAAGACTTTACATTGGGAAAATGTACATGAAAGACGAGTAGTGTCTGTCAAGTGTTTTGTGTCTTACTCCTTTGAAAGCAAGTGGCGTAGTCCTGTGGGGGAGAGTCTGTCTGAGAGCGAATAGAGTAGTTGGCAGGAAACTTAAGCTTCGACACGCGGACATGCTTCAACTTCTACGTAATTACGAGCTTTTAAAAATTTGTTGAGAAACCAACCTGACAAAAGCACGACTTATTTCTATCTCTTTAATCTCTGTATGTGTTAGGCTAATTGGCTCCTGAGATTTTTCACTCCCAGCTCCAGAAGAGCGTAATCCTTGTCACTCATCATATTTAGAAGGGCCTCTGTGCTCACGCAAAATTTTAGGAAGAGCGTTTGTCTTCTCTCGACTTCTTTCCTGGCCTCTGTCAACGCTGAAAAGGCCTAATAAGCGGAGTATGGATTGATTATATTTCTTTGCAAAAATATCAAGACAATAAAACTTAAACTTAGCTATACTATTTATCTATGTCGGCCACTCAATATAAGACAAAAATTACTTTAGTATGGTGGTTTCTTTGACTGATCAAGCAAGCGTAGTCACGAACACTTTTCCTTACATGCACATTTAGCGGCCACCCACCAGGAATGGTGGGGTGACCGTTAAATACAGACTGACCAGAAAATGACTTTCGAGATATTCGTGCGAAATATTTTTCCTAACAGTCCAAAGAAGGACGTGTTTAAGGGGAATTTACAACCGCTTAATAGAGGGTGACCGCTAGACTTTTTACCTCCTCCATCACAGAGGACGTTATGTCGTAAAAAGAACTAAATCAGTGGTTGAGACGCCGAGAACTTTCATTGAATACAGTAAGTCACCAATATCGTCAATAGCGGCAATATTTAGTTTCTCTCTAGACGGCGGCACGACTTGAAGAGATGCCTGAAAATTAAAGGGAAATTAGTCTCAAAATTCATTACTTCACTAAAAAAGTAGTTCGTGAATATTAATGTCGAGTTTTATTTGTCAACTCTAGTTGACTTGGAAAAAAAAAGTAAATAAAACTTGGACTCTTTCGTCGGCCACAAGCTACCATCGATCATCCTTTTTCAATGGTCCGCAAAAATATTAAAGTGATTATGTTCATGAAGTACCATAAACAAGAAAGGGATAAACTCACTGGAAATTAAACATATAGTCAATATTATAGATATTCTCTGAAATGTGATAGGAACCAACAATTGTATTATATTTGCTCACTTTTGCATTTAATTTGATGGCCTTCCTCTAGTCATTGTATTTTTAAGATAAACCGTGGAAACGGTAAATTCTTTTTCCACTTGATTTCGTGAGTTATCAAAGCGCCTTGAAAATGTGGCAATTTTTTACCCTAAATGTCAATCCATCACAAAGCACTTTCATCACCAAATATTTTGTGGCAGATATATTCGATGGCAGATATATTCGTTGGGCGAGACAGTATACGGAAAAACCAGTCTTTACACTTACTCCTAAAGCCTCTGTAAATTGACTGTGAATGCTGCTACAGTAGTAAACGAGAAGAATACAGAATAAAATACCGATCAGCTACAAAAAAATATTTACCACTCAATTGAAATTACCTGATCTGCACGCAGAAAAATTTCTTTGTATCTTATAACAACAATGCACTAAAGGAGTTAAACGATTGCATTGGAGGCTTATTACATTTAGGACTAAATGTTATTACATTTAGGACCAAATGTCATAACATTTAGGACGTTATTACATTTAGGACTTCAACAAACGCTACTGTTTAATGGAGCTTTTACTCAATCATAAAAATTATTTTAATAGGTTTTTCGACTGCCTTTTTTTATGCCCAACATTTTTGCGCTGAGCCGCGGCGTTTCTTCCTTTTTTTGTTGTGCGAATGCAAGACTGCCATCTTAACAACGGACTTCAATTGTCTTTGAAAATATCGCGTCTACGATCCTCCACTGTTGAGTTATGCGTTTGGCTTTTGACTAGACTTATGCACCATCAGTTGCTTTACGTTTCATGTTTGTGTATACATTATATAATTACTTAATTTTTCTATCTTCCTTTAATCATTGACCTTATCAGACGAGATCACGGAATTTCTGGTCCTTAGCCCTAAATTTAGCCACATGGAATTCATATGCGCTATCTCAATTTTAACTTTTATACCTTTAATGTACAAAATCATTGTTGGTATAATCGTACTAAGCAATCTTCTCCCTTTTCTGATACACAGGTTTCCCATTCTTGATACAACGAACACACGCTTGAGTGTCATGTCACGCATTCCACTTCGTACATTAGAGTGGTTTAGCAAGAGGACGGGAACGTCATTTCAGAACGGCGTGCGCAGCAAAAATGCCGAGAAGAAACTGGGTCGCGAACGCCGTCGCGTTGTGTTGAAAAGTGACTTAGCAGTCGTTTCAACGAACTGTCCACGTTATATTTGTTCTTGAATATCCCAGCCCTGGCTCTTTAGGATCATTATCAGCTTTGAATTTTCGGTTTCATAGACCACTTGAAGGACAACGAAATTATCCTCTTTAAGAGTGTGACAAGCACAAACCGAGGATAGTTTACTACAAGTGAGTTGTTAATATGAATCCACATGGGCGGTTAAACTTTGAAATTATTCCATTCCAGTTAAGTGTCGAGTCTGCGAATTCATCTACCAAATTTTGAAGCCCACTAAAAATTTTTTTCTACGATTAGTATCGCTGTCATTTCGTTTCGTGCTTCTAGATTTCAGCACTATTCTTTTTTCTTCATAATTTTGCAAAGTATAATTTGGAATTGAAATCGTCGCTGTTTTTTCCCTTGTTTACTGAATATTCTTCTCAATCATGACAGTACACCTCTTTAAAGCACCACCTTCTTAGAGTTGCAATGCATTTTGAATGGAGTTATCAGGAGTTATGGCGAAAACATGTAGAGATCAAGCGACCCAGCGATGGAGTTGTTTACAGTGAGTTCCCGTTTAACCATGAACGAATGAAATGCACTTAAACTAGTCACCAACGAAACAGTTAGACTGAGGAATCAGACTTCGTTCCCGTTTTATTTTTGTTTTTTTTTTAATTTCATTTTTTTAACGAAAAAAGTCGTTCAAGACTGAATCAAATTAATAGATTTAGAAAGCCGTGCCGAAATCAACTTGATTGTTACTTCCTTTCGTAGATGACTTACTTGTCTTAGTTTTCACTGGCGCTGATCAAAAACTAAAGACATAAAAAAAGTGCAAACCCGAGCTATTCTCAAACAATTTTTATCTCTGACTTCAATTCGCAGAACACTTTTTAATCACGATTAAAACGACAATGACAGCAAGTAACACTGAATAATATAGCAGGTAACCTTCGTGTTGTTTCATTTTGATAAACTTCAACATGAAGCAAGTTTAATTTATTGATGAATTAATTCATGATGAAATTAACAGCACCCATTCTTAGAGTTTTCACACATGGTTTAAGAAATGTATCAAAGAAAAGCCCTTACGTTGCTTAAAGCCACGCTCAATTACAAAAGGTAACTGAGCCCTAAAATCTCCGATCGCTTGCTGACGATCGTGTTTCCTTTCGGGAATCCAGAATAAATGTAGCGGTAAATTTTCACAAATTCACCGAATAAAACAGAGAAAAACACCTGGTTATCCTGAAAATGAGTTCTGAAATCATTCCAAACATCATCATCTCGTTTATAAGCGCACAATGAACGCAAATCCTAGGCGTTTTGATCAAGACAGGAAAACCAGAGAAATGACGTCCTGAACTTGATGGGGAGAACGGCAACGCTAACACCGGAAGTCGAAATAGAGTCGTGTCCAGATTATCCGCGCGGCTCTTGCCAAACCACTCTATTTATGATTAAAACAGCACAGCTTCAGCGCTGGATAATTTTCCAAATAACAGGTTTGCCTTTTATGGCTTAAGGGCGCAATGTTTCTTTCAGATAGCCACTGCATTGATTTATTAAATTCACACAAGTGAAAATTACAGGACTACCTTTTTCGAATATCAGATTCCTAATTCACAAATGAAGTTCTTCCCTTTCGCAAATTTCCGATTTCAGTTAATCTCACAAATAAAACTTTTTCATTTTGTTTCGTTTTGCAAATCAGGGTTATATCATGGTTAACATGACACCCTATTTGACTACTGAAGTGGGTCCATTTTTACATTGGCCTTGTTGTGATTGGTGAGAAAGCTTACATTCATCGAAGAAATTTCTAGCCTAACAAATTCGGTATCTTGCAGATTTAACTGTGCTGTCACAAGATCAATGTTCACTAGGGAAGCTCAATGAAACAACTGACGGGTTGTACGAGTCTTGGCCGGAAAGATCGAATGGTCTGCAACTTAAAAAATTTCAATGTTGTATTGACTTTTCGTTCGATGATTTTCGATTACTGCGCGTTCCATGAAGATAATTCATTTTGCATTTATTGTTTAACGAAAATGACTACTCCAAAAGTTGCGAACAGATTACGTGAATTCAGAAAAACTGGAAAAGGATTTCGTTTCCTCTAAAGTCATTGGAAAACATCGGAGTCCTTTTGTCATTGTCTCTGAGAGGGCTTTCTATGATTTGCGAAGAGGCAAAGTGAAACAATGTTGTTTGTGAGATTATTTAAAATCGGTGATTTGCGGAAAGCAAATACTTCATTTGTAAAGTAGAAATCTATAATTTTCAAAAAAGGTAATCCTGAAATTTGCACTTGTGTGGATTCAACGAATCAGTGCATCGGCTATGTGGAAGAAAAATTGCGTCGCTAAGCCATAAAAGGCAAACCTAATATTATCCAGCGTTGAAGCTGGGTTGTTTTAATCATCAATGTACGAAGTGGAATGTACGAAGTGGAATGCGTAAAGTGACATAGCGGGAGCCCCGGGAAAAAAGGGGGCGGGAGAGGGCGGGAAGCGGTTGAACAGGGGACGGCAAGCGGGAGCAAAAATAAAGAAG